GGTTGTCAGTAATGCAGCATGTTTAAACTCGCGGAACAGAAAGTTTTTATCGATTTGCTGTTTGAGTACATGAACTGGTGAACAATTTCTTTCCTAAATGCCCTAAGATACGAGAATTTATCAGGTAATAAGTTGCATTCTTACCCACTACCTCTGATTTTTGAAACAGTTCTGTCTTTGATTAGATGTGAAAGGTTGGCTTATTTTTGGGAGGAGGGTCAGTATTACGTTTATGGAATCTATTTGGAACTTGAGCGTTGCTGCTCTGTCATAGTCTGTTAGAAATGCTCCTTTTCGGGTCTTTTGCTACATACTTCCGTAGACAGATGAATCTTCCACGCTAAAGTTAATGATTCGTTGCCATCGTCTATGACTCGCACAGTAGCAAGTCACTGATATTTTCTTATTTGCGAAATTTCAGGATTTGCCGTTGAAAGATAGCGAATCGTTGCTTCAGGATGATGAAGCTAATTGCGTTGTCGCTCATCATCGGCCATGGGTTTTGCTTCTATCTTCCTGGTCTTGCGCCCGTAAATTTTTGCGAGAAAGACAAAGAAACGAGTCATTGCAAGGTACCGAACTTTAAGTTTTTGCGTTTTCATACTTGGTGCTTCGTACTCTAAACTTGGTATTTTTGCAGTCTCAAGTCAAGCTGATGGTAAACCGACTGGATTCAAAGCTCAACACCATTCCTTACGAATATCATCAGTACTTAAATTTTTTTATATCTTTCGTTCGTAACTATGGCTTTCAGCTTTGACTTCTGCTTGGGACCGGAAGACGAAAGTCCCGTGGAAAATTTAGGCCAGGTCTTGACCGGGGAACGAATTCGTCCATCGCAGTATGAGGTAGGCACTGAAACTTTCTACTTCTCAGATTTGTGCTCGAGTGAAAAGGCCTATTTCGGATTAGTATTTTCGTAGAAATGACCTTGATCTAACCTTGATGAGTGTTGTGTGGCCGCAGGCTTACTAATCTGATCGCTGTTCATATATTTGTTTTCATACTGGGAGACATGCAATTACTACGGCGTAGGTCAGTAAACACAGTGTGAGCATTTTCTAATGTTGTTTTAGATTCTGGGACCACCGTTGGTCTGGCTAAGACAAAGTACCTAAATTCATGCAGAAACCTTTAACCGAAGGGCTAAACCTCTTTTCTTTACTCAGGTTTGTAGCATAATCGATGTTCCAGCAACAACGCCCGCAGATGCTTTATCATGAGAGGC